TCGCGAAAAGTGTATAAGACACTTTTAAGATCAACTAAATAGCTAAGCCCAAGGGAAGTCGTTCGGGGAGGCCCTCCCTAATTCCACAAGGGTGAGAAGAAACACACACGATAACGAAACGTTGAATCATGTAGAACTCGTAGGGTAAATGCAAAGCAAATTAGGAAGAATATGCAGTAAGCTAAGCGAAGAGGTAAGCAAGGTTAGACTATACTACAACTACTAAACGTGTTATTTCTACTACTACACTACTACTACATAAAAAAAAATAAAAACATCTACAATCAACAATTACTTCAAATAAAATAAACTACAAAAACCATGCAAAATAAAAAATTAATTCTAATTGTGTCTAGTAGAACATGCAAGATACAAAAGTATTTTAACTACAGGATCTTCTTTGTCTTCTCCCTCGTCGATCTGAAACAGATACGGTGGTAACAGATTAATAAAGAGCAACTGAAATTAATTATAATATCAAACATATTCACCTTAACTAACTGCAGACTGCAGTGAAAAGCAAATCAAATCCAGGATGAATATCACAGCAGAAGATCTGTCCTTTCAGTAAAGTTCAAATAAATCTCCAGTTTCTCGCATTCATCCGTTGAAAATCAGTTACATAATGTTGAAAGGTGAAGATGAGAATAGTATCTTCATTGCTCTGTTCATTCTGGGATAAAAATGACTGCTACAATCTGTGCTCCACAATATAGAGGCCTACAGCTTGTTATAATGTTCCTGTGAAAAAACATGTTACATTAAAACAACAATCAACCATAATACAATTAAGCCTGCTTAGAAAACAGAAAGTTAAAGTAGTTAATGACAAATGAACATAATTATAATAAAAGAAACTTACACATTGATGAAACATCGGCAATCAGTAACTACCTTTTAATTTCAAGCAATTTAAATTACGGAATACATTCTTACCTTAAAAAGTCATAGAATGTTTCAAGATAAAGAAGACAAAAACTAAGGAAGTGCAGCAAGAACGGCATCATTGCACACCATCCCATTTGTCGATATTCCTGTAGTAACGAAATAATCTTCAATACGCTTTCATTCACTGCTCAATCTATAAAAAAAGAACAATACAAGTCGAATTAGTTATATTATTTCGTAAATAAGATATGATTTAATGTAAAAATGCACCTGGAAACAGGACGGTAAATGAGCACAATTCCAAAATGGCGATGGACGAGCTGATTTCATAGATAAGAGATATACTTAGTAGGTCAGTTGACACCACAGACAAGAATAGGTTGACACATTGCATAGATATGTTGGTAAAAGTAGCGTCACTGTGATCATAGACATGATAAAAAGAGAAACAATAGATATAAAATTTACCATCGAGTAGAATAAACATAAGGTATGTTCAAACATTGTACACCTATCACTTTATAATAAAATCGTATAAAATTAGTTTTCTACTACAAATACTAAAGTCTATATATTAAATAACGAATGAGTTATTGGGGTGGTAAAGTGTGGTTGAATTGGAGAGTTTTTCATGAAAATTGTACAAAAAAAATACTATTTTCACAATAAAAAAAAATTGTTTTGTATTACAATAAGGGGTAGTTTAACATTACATCTTGTCTTGCTAATTCTAATAACATAGGATCATCGAAGAATTTATTAATTGAAACGTCCTGGCTGAGTCCTTTTCTCCTGCGGGTCTTGATCATAAATTCACGGGCCAAATGGGTTGCCGGCTGGGGCTCCAAAGGTCTGATAACAATGGACTTGTCCAGTGGATCTCCAGGAACAATCTAATTAAAATACGAAATAAAATACTATAACATGTTTTAAAAGACAATTTAAAAAATAAAGTATAATTAGAACGAATAAGAAATATGGTCTTATTTGTTTACCTGCCAATGATGGAAAACAGAGAGACAAAAGGCTTGGCCCTGTGTGTGTGTCCTTAAATCGGTTTCAAATCCAAAACTGTCAATAGCGGGGATAAAGGCTTTAATTGTGTACAAAGGAGATCCAGGAACGGGTGCATCCTGCGTGACGTGACCTCTAAAGCATGAAAATAAAACATAAGAGGAAAAAGGAAACCATTTTTTGATGTAGTATATTAAATTAAGGTCTGATGTTCGATTGAATCAAACAACTGAATTTTTCAGTATATATAAGATCTTAATAAATGAATTGGACGTGCATCCTAAGATGAATGCCTTAAATAAAAAATTAAACAAAATGCCTATAATAATCTTAGTTAAAGTTTGATAACGAATATGTTTTAAAAATTGGATTTCTAAGCTTATATAGCATATGCATACATGCACCCTTCAATGCCGAGGGCGGCTATTACTTTTTCAATTTTTTTAAAGGCTTAAAAACGTAAAAGAGTCCTAGTTTTTTTGCATTTGAAGGTGTGACTATTACCGTTTAAAAGCTCCAATGATCAAAACCGAGTAAAATATTCATTTATATTCACGCTTACCTTCGTTTTGCCAGTACAGTGTACACAGCTGACACGCAATCGGCCGGGGCCTGCACCTCCACGAACAAATAGGGCTCCATAAGACGTGGTGTAGCCATTAGGAATGCAGAATACACAACACGTCGGGCTGTTGGAATGATCTGACCTAAAAAATGCATAGAAAATTAATTGTCATTCCGTTGTTTAATAATAATAAATGATTAATTACCTCCTCCTCTATGTAAAGGCTCGTTGGCAATGACGGCGTCCAGAATTTTAAACTTCGTGTTTCTTATGGGTTCTTCGCACAATGGTCCCTCTCTAGTACCCCATTGGAAGCCCTGCACTATCGAATCTTTCACCGAATTGAGAAGACCTTTGTCAACCTCAGAAGGAAGCGTATCATCCACAAGAATATTGGGGCCTAGAGCATAATTAATAAATTTACAAAATAAATGAAGACATAAATAGAAATTAAGTAAATTAATAAAAATTTGTCCATAGACTACCTGTATTATCTGGACCAAATGCCCATATACTTCTAGCAGCCAAAAGATCCCAGTCATACTTGGTTTGGAAAAATTCGCCAAGCTTCTTCTTGTTCCACGTTATCTGAACGTTTTCGTTCTCGATGTCTTCAGCCAAACCCTTTTCCAAAGGCTCCGCAATCATCGTTAGTTTGTTCTTTTTGTTGGGAGTCTCAGCGAAGCACTTTAAACTTGAAGTCTCTACAACTGTCTCGCAAAAAGCCACAACGGGATCGGCAACTATAAAAACAAAGTAAAACGTTTAATAATAATCGCAAAAAATATGTAATTAAAACAAACTAATTATTTATTAAATTGCAATTATGTGACAAAGAAGACAAAGTATTCAATTTGTAGTACATTAGTAATGAATTTATATTAAAGCGATTTTTGGAAAGTTTAAAAGTAAAATCTAGTAATTAAATAAATGTTTCAAATATTGCTTTACCTTTAATATCTATTTCTGAATACATTTTCCTCAGGTCATGCATCACGCAGTCCAGATAAAGCTCTCCTGTGCCCAGAATTACATGTTCTCCCGACTCTTCTACCTTTGTAGTTACCAAAGGGTAGGACTTGTTGACTTTACGTAAACCGTCCAACATTTTCGGTAATTCTGATGGATTCACTGGTTCCACTGTAACATAAATGTCATATTACATATATAAAAAGATAATAAAAATATATACAGCATACCTGCAATTTTAATGATACTTTGAGTGTTAAATTTCAAAGGACGAAAGATGTATAAATCCTCATTAATTGTCAAATCTGCAATGGTTGATGTCTTTACAATCGATTGATCTATGCCTTCAATAAGGACCCAATTGCCTGCAGGAACTCTATTTAACTCCACCTTGTACCTAAATTAAAGAAGATTAATATTTTGGTTAATTAAATAAAAAAATTAATGAATTAATTAATATAATTTTACCTCGCTTCATAAATCCAAAGTCGCCCGACCGTGAGCACCCTCGAGTCTTCTTCGTCCTGCAACGAATAATTTTCTCCCAGAACCCTGACGTCCTGCCCAGCATGAAGGGTCCCACTCATAACCCTTCCTAGTACTTGGAAGAACGTACAGTCTTCAGTGGGGTACATTTTCGAACTGTGGACCTGTAAAAATAAATAAGAACGAATTAATTTCACAATGGATTACGAAAATTATGATTCGCACCATTAGTTTTCCTTCTTGGTCGCAATTGGCCATGTCATCGTAATATTGGCTCGTTGTAGGACCGGTAAAAATGTGCCCCATTTTATGCTTGGCATTGTCCACTGGTGATCTTATGTGTTCTACGCACATATTCACAAAACCTATTACAGAAATAATTGTATAGAGTAAATCATAATATAAAGTGTCTTTAATAAATTTACCAGCAAAATCTCCAAGAAATTTATTGCAAACCAATCTAAGCAGGGGTCGAATGTTTAATTTTAATTCGTTTTTTGTCAATTTAATTCCAAGTTCGTCGAGCACATCAGGCAAAGTGGAATCCACGTCGCCAACGACTTGGGCGAAGATTTTATACAAAGGTTCCAATATAAATTCGACAAAACTGCGCTGAGGAGAATTGTGAGGCGCCTTTTTTGTAAACTTTCGTCTGAAAATGAAATTTTCGACCCCTTAAACAATTATTCTAAAACTCACAGGAGGCAAAGAAAAACATATTAAAATGTTAGTAGTATTTCGTGGTTCTAATAGTTAACACACTTACGTTTTTTCATTGAAATAAATATCACCCCAAAGACGTTTAGCAAACTCTTCCACGTTGATATCTGAGTAATATTGCTTGTAAACGCTGGCAAAAGACTTTAGGGTGAAACATATACCGTATTGAGCACTGGCAAAGCACACATTTCCCAGAACAGGAGACAATATTATGGGGTTTTCCTCATCAGAATATAAACTAAAAAATATCAGGAAGTAATAATACAATTAATATTACAAAAAAAAAAAATGATTAACTTTAGAAGTCCATTTATTTCTTCTACAATATGTCGCAATTTATAATAGGCATCCTGAGGGGGTAATTTCAATTCCAACATGAGTCGGTCAATTTTATTTATGCAAAGGGTGATTTGCATTCTTTCCTGCACTGCATGTTTCAGCAGCCTCTCAGTATTGAGCATAACACCCTCTGCTGCATCAACAAAGAGTACCACACCATCACACAGCCTTATAGACGCAGTGACTTCATCAGAAAAGTTAACATGACCTAAAATTTATTAAAAATAATATGTGCAATCATATTTTAAATTAGATTTATCACTTACCTGGTGTATCAAAAATATTCATTAAATAATTCTTGTTTTTCACATCTTGCAGAAGTAATGTAACGGGAATGGATTTAATAGAGACTCCTCTTTCCTGTTCAGTGAACAATGTATCTGTGTACCTCAAATTTTTCTCTTCATAATCCTGATAACCTGGATGTGTTTGCCTAATAAGACAGTCAACAAAAGTGGTCTTTCCATGGTGTAAATGACCTATAAGGGCCACATTACGAATTAATGCTGTATTGTCCATCATATCAGCAAGGTATCTACAAAAACATATTTATGTAGCTCACATTAACTTCATAAAAATCACTATTTTACGTACTCCATGTTGTAAATTGTTTCAGGCAGATCTTGTTCCTTCAGCTGGAATTTTTTCTTTTTAACTGGCTCCACTAAAGGTACATCCAAGGGTTGTGCATCTTCTTCCTGTACTATAGTCTCCACATCTGGGCCGTACACTTGTAGGGCCGATGGATAATACTGTTTATCTTCATGTAAAACAACAGCCATTGGCTGGACTTCACTGTCATCCATTTGTTCGTCCTAATAGACAAATAAAAATCCTCATACCTATTAATCATATAGATAAATATTACTTACATCATAATCTTGGTGTTCTTCATCATCAGCTGCTTGTTCTTGTTCGTCTTCCTCTTCCTCTTCGCTGTCCAATTCGGGCCCGACATAGTTACCAAATTCATCATACAAATCGGTGTCCATATTATTTTCAATTAAAAAATCTGTCTACAAACTTCCTTAACAGTTCTTGCAGTTTTAAGATTAGATTCACTGTAAATAGAATATTAAAAGGTAACTAACGAATGCGTTTAAATAACGTCACAAACTTAGGGTTAAGTTTACTTGCCAGTTCCCATAATGCAATGCGGATTGTTTATGGGTGCGTTCACTTTACTACTTCGTTTCTGACACCCATTTATTTAAAAATTTGAGAGTACTACTCTAATTTCAATAAAATTTAAATATAATTTGTGAAGTGGATAAAGTGACGAAAGCAACAATATTAACTAATTCAATTAGCGTTGTCAGATAAGTTTCATGTTTTCCTTATCGCTTTTAGTTTATCAAATGAAAAATAGATTTAGAGAAACTCTTTTTCATCTACAAATAGGTACAGTTTAATTATTACACTTTACAATAAGACCGATTAAAATGCTGTGCTCTGTGTTATTGTTTTTATTTTCATTTGAAATTCAAACTTTATATGGAAAACCAAACTTTGTTATTATCATGGCAGATGATATGGTAAGAAAGTAACAGTTTCTATCAAAATTATTTTTACCTAATTTGGACTGCTAATTTACTTTTTTTTATGTACAAATTAAACAAAAACAATAAATAAAGCTAATAATTTCCAATTATTTTTGATATTGTAGTGAATGTGAAATTTAATATTTCTCATTTTTATATTATTTTTTTTCAATGTAGACGCACTTAGGGATGCTGATCTAAATTTTTCTCTTTGCAATCAATTAAACCGTAATTGGTAATGTAATATATAGACAACCCAACATACAGCAAATTTTAGAACTGATAGTGTAACTACAAAGAAAGTTAGAGATACTTTCTAATGAAAATAACTTTTTTACGTGAAACGAACTACAAATTATATTACGTAAAAATAATTAATTAATATTATATATGAAAAAAAAAAATGAAAAAGAGAAAAATTTAAGGGATGGAATGATGTGAGTTTCCATGGGGCTAATCAAATTCCAACTCCAAATATAGACGCACTTGCTTATAATGGCATAATTCTCAACCGATTTTACACACAACAAGCGTGCACCCCCTCAAGGGCTGCGTTACTGACGGGAAATTACCCAACTCGCACAGGTAATTTATCATTTTTTTGGTTTGGAAAAGCAAAATTTAACACACAAAAACTTTCTAAGGTTTAGGCCGTGAACCCATAAGTGTCGGCGAAAATATTTCTCTACCAATAAATGTAACTACTTTACCTCAGAAACTAAAAGCGTTGGGCTATGCGAATTATTTGGTTGGGAAATGGCATTTGGGGCACCACTACAAGTCGGTCACCCCTACCAGACGGGGGTTCGATAAATTTTTCGGCTACTGGAACGGCTATGTCAGTTTTTTTGACTACATGACTTATTACACAGACGTAAGTACACAAAGGACGAAAATTTTCTTAGCCAAAAGTATTATTTTTTAACTTACAGGCAAATATTAACGGCTTCGATTTGCGAGATAATTTTCGTGTAGCTCGGGAATACCGGGGTCAATATGCGACAGAACTGTTTACTAACAAAGCGATTGAATTTATCAAAGGTCATGATACTAGCGTGCCCATGTTTCTAATAGTTTCCCATTTGGCTCCACATACGGGACCCGATTCAAAAGTCGAAGTAAAGAATCTTACTGAAACAAACGAAAAATTCAATTATATCAGAAACCAGGAGCGGCGTAATTATGCAGGTAATAAAGCATACAGGGTGCTCCACTCTAAAAATACCTTATTCAAAAATTTAAAATACTCTTAAAGGAGCTACTGAAGAATTGGATAAATCGGTTGGAGAAATACTTGCAGCACTTGCAGAGAAAAGCATTTTAAATGACACTTTGATTTTATTCTTATCGGACAACGGAGCACCGACGGTGGGGCAATACGCAAATCAGGGCTCAAACTGGCCACTGCGTGGGGTAAACACTAATTTAACGAATTAAACAAAACTAAAATAAACTTTGGAATTTTTAGATAAAAATGTCCTATTACGAAGGGGGCGTGAGGGGAACAGCTGTCCTTTGGGGCTCACAATTGAACAAAAACGTAATAAACAATGACCTCTTTCACATATCGGATATAATGCCTACATTTTACGCAGCAGCAGGTAAATAAATATACTTAAGATAATCGAACTAATATACAATAAAATTGTGTAACGCTTATAGGTGGACATATATCGGATTTGGGCATAATCGATGGTATAAACCAGTGGGACATGATATCAAAAAATGCACCCGGAACACGAACTGAAATGCTCGTGGGCATTAACGACAGGACTAGAGCAGCAGCATACATTGACAGAAAAGGGCAGTACAAGCTATTTAACGGTGGGTACTGATTTTTGTTAAAAATCCATCACCTTGTTCTCGTTCATTAAAAAATATTAATTCTTTTTAAAGGAACATCAAACTACAATAGCTACTACGGTGAAGCAGGACGATTAGAAGAAAACCCTGAGTACAACATAACTGAAATTTTCGAAAGTAAAGTCCATCAAACCTTAAAAAAGGTATCTGATGCTGCCCTAGATGATAATATGATTTTACAAACAAGATCACAATTGGATTTGTCACGGTGTAGGATTGATTCAGAAAAACCTAACATTAATTGCAGTTCATTTTGCTTATTTGATTTGTTTAACGACCCTTGCGAAAAAATCGACATAAAAGATCAACAAGAAGATCTTGTAAACGAAATGAAACTGAAAATAGAGAAATATTGGGAGCAAGTTGTTCCTCAACCTGCAAAATATATCGATCCCAGATCAAACCCAATTTATTTCAATAACACATGGGATACATGGCTTAATCAATTTTGTTTACCCAATGATTCCAACCCCTTGTGCTCATAAATGTATGTTTGAATTAACTAATAAGTATGGAGGGTTTTCAAGTTGATGTAATAAATAGATTATCTTAAATTAATATTTAATTAATTAAAGTAACAAACCATTAGGAATATTGTTTTAAAAATTCTTCACAACACCTTACACATTGCTCATAACATTTTTCAAATCCCTTTATATCAGAATCCTAAAATATATTTACAAATAAATAATTTGCAAGTAATACTCAAAGATTATATTCACTTACATAGTAAGGGTCTCGAATAATTCTATCCCCTTCAGGATGAAAGTCTCCTAACAAGAGAATTTGAGCCTTAGGATTGTTTGGAGCTCTTCTTTTCAAATCATCTATGTTTTCATCATCCATTCCAAATATAAAATCATACTCATGGTAATCATTTACAGCTACCTTTAAGAGACAAAAATCACTTGCAATGATATGAATTTCTATAAAACACTTGATAAAAGGAGAAAAAGTACCTGTCTAGCACGACCATTATATTTAATTTGGTATTTTTGAAGCACAGTTAAAGCCCTTCGGTCAGGAGATTTACCCACATGCCAGGAACCTATAGCAGCACTATCAACTGCCCATTTGTCTTTAACATCATTCTTTTCTATTAAATTACAAAAAACCGCTTCGGCGATTGGGGAGCGACATATATTACCTTTTAAAAGACTAAAAAATAGGAGACTTGGTAATTGGATTTAATTAAACTCACCTAAACAAACAAAAAGGACCTTTCTTTCACTTGACATGCTTCACAAAATAATTAATACACTTTTAGTAACAAAAACAACGGTAAATCTAAAAAAAATTTCAAAGAACAAAACAAATAACCACACTTTTATGAAAAATGTCAAACTTGACCATAGATAAACTTGACCCTGAATCTCGAACTTTTAGTAAATAAATTATTTAGCCACTAGTTTATATTTCCAAATAAAAAAAAAGCTCTGACCNTACTTTTTTCTTTTGAAAACTAAAAAATAAACCAAAGCAAACAAATAACTGTTATAATAACTTATAATAAATTATGGATTGACTGTTACAACAATTTTTTAATTAATAAAATAAAGGTATGATATATTTGTTTCATAAACTAGTAATAAATTTAACAAGAAACAAAATTAATTTAGTAACAATTTAAATTAATCAATTAATTCATATTCCCACGCGATGATCTAATTGGTTGATACATGCTTGTGCAACTACTAAAGTCAAAAGCAAATATTTCATTTAACTAAAAATTATTATTTGTTTTCTTTTAAAGAAAAATGCAAAGGAATTGATTAAAAATTAAATTGAATTTTTCCATTACATTTCAAATATTCTTAGTTTTATTATGATTTTTAAATTGAAGTAACAGTGATGGCCATGAATACAGTAATAAAGAAACTAACGTAGTGTGTTTAAAAGTCATCGATTGTTTGTGTCAACATAAGAAATCGTACTGCTGAAAATAAAACGGATTCACTTTTAACTCGCATTTTGACGAATAAATTTTTGTGATTTTTTAATAATGAAGTTCCAATATAAAGAAGAGCATTCCTTTGAGAAGAGGAAAGCCGAAGGGGAAAAAATCAGACGTAAATATCCTGACAGGGTCCCAGTAAGTATTCAACATTTGCATACCTAACAGTCATTGTTTTTGCGATTCTAGACAAAGAAAATAATTTGTCATCTTTTGTGTTAATTAAACGTATAAAATTTTGTTCATTTCATGAGCTTGTTATCCTGATTAAGTGAATTTTGTTTAACTATTTTTAACTACGAATTACGTTTTGACATTTTGCAATTTTTTTGACGTGATCTACTTCCAAGGTTATTGTTTATTGTTTGTATTTAAAAATTATTAATTTCGTAGGACTTTGGTAAAATATTATAACGTTTTAGTTTATCTGCTATCTGCTTTTATGTTTAAGATTCAATTATATATTAATTTCCACCGTTTCGTTTATAAATAAATCTTTTGTGCGCTATTAAACAGTTCAAGTACCTGTCCTTTTATGGGGCGTAAAATTTCTAAATATTGCGAAATTGAATATTAATCTAATTTATTAACATTTTACTATTATTGTCCCCTAGGTTATAGTTGAAAAAGCTCCAAAGGCAAGAATTGGCGATTTAGACAAGAAAAAATACTTGGTACCCTCCGATTTGACTGTAGGTCAGTTCTATTTCTTAATTAGAAAAAGAATTCATTTGAGACCTGAAGATGCTTTATTCTTCTTTGTTAACAACGTGATTCCTCCCACATCTGCAACCATGGGTTCCCTCTACCAGGTAAAAAATAAAAAAATGATGCTTTGGTGGTGATAACCGATTACATGTTATTTATTTATTTTTTTTTAATTGAATTGATAGGAACACCATGAAGAAGATTTCTTCTTATACATTGCATACTCTGATGAAAATGTGTATGGTAGTGACTTTGATCACTAATCAAGAGTGCTGCTTCACAAAAAGATTAAATAAATCACAGCAGTAATTTAATTGACTTTATCTTAATAATGACTACTTTTTCCTTTTGTAACGACCATGTATAAGGGAAATACATATAAAAATGTTTATGGGTTCTTTGTTTTTTTAAATATTTAGCACAGCTACACAATATCATATTATATTAGGTATTTAGTATTATTTGTGTAATATATAAATGTAACTTACAAAAACAGCAATTTGTTTTCTTTTCATAGTGTTTATGGTGTAATTATAACATGCAAGAACTTGTTTCAAAAAATATAGCATTTTCATTATGTTCACTTTAGAATAGGAGATAGAAAATGTTGTAAATGAAATAAAAAAAGAATAAAATCTATTAAAAACACTGTCCGCATATTTTTTATAAATGAGAATGAAATTAAAAAAGAAGTTTAAACTAGAAAATTGTTTGTATGAAAGAGTTATACACCCATTTAAATTTTCGCGCCTATTTGTAGTTTAACCTTCCTCACTAGTGGCTAAAGTATCTCAATATAAAGATATTTTAATTGTTATCAAAAATTAAAATGAGTGCTCCTACTAACAAACTATATACATTTTCCTACTAAATAGTCTTCGTTATCTTCTAAAAAGTTACCTTTAATTAATTTTCATTATCCAAAGATTAACGGTCTATCGTCTACTGCGACTTTAGGTACAATTTATCTGTCAGATCAGAAGTCTACCTAACCTCACAAATAGTTGTCTAATTTAAAGGTTATATTAAAAGTAAACAAATGTAAAGAAATTAAAGAAAAAGTATACGTAAAATGTTTGATGATAGTGATTTTGAATTTGATGATGTAAGTAGCCACATTAATTTTTATTTGTGTGATATCATCACTTATTACTCATAATTAAGGAGGCGATAGATGCAGTTTTTGACAACATGCCCAGTGTTGTTTCCAACAAAACAGTTCAAAAACGACCCTGTGAAGAAGAGAAAATCATCGAAAAACAGGGAAATACAATCCAAATTGACCATTTTTTACGACCTGCTAAAAAACCGAAGGAAAATACCACTATTTCTAATAAGTTTCAAAACATAAAAAATGATGTTTATGATCAATTCCAAAGCATAGAAAGAACAAGTGTTAAATTTGATTGTGTTGATAATAGTGATCGATTAAGTCCAATAATATGTTACAATGAGCCATCTTCAAGTTCATATGTACATAAGAATACTGTAAAGAAAGTGGTACAGAGAAAGTTTCCAGGACCAGCAGGTCTGTTACCTGAACAAATGGACAAAAACAACTTCACAAAGAGGATCGATGACGACTTCTACTTTAAAAATGTGCAAAATACAGAGGAGGTTTGTTAACAAATTATCATTCCTTTATCAAAATAAATACTTTGTTGAATTACTTCTTTGTAGCCAATGCTAGTTTCTCAATGTTGTGAATTAAGTTTTGATGATAAACTTTGGAAGAGAATGCTAGAAGATTTAGAACATGAAAAAATTGATAGTGAATATATTTTACCTGAGAAATATAACATTGAATGGATAAAAAGTAAAGCTGTGAATAATCAGTTAGTAAATCAGAAGGCCCCATTTTTAGCTGCATTAATTCAGAGTTTGAATATAAAATCCCCAGTACCAACAGTCACATTAAGGGATAAGACTGGTAATTAAGGATAACACTGCTGAATAAATGTCGAAAAAAGTTTAATTTCATATTTCTTTTTGTAGGTGAAATCCAGGCTACAATTGATTACGACTTGTATAAAGAATATGTTGCAGAGTTAGCAGTTGGTTCGGTTATCATTATTAAACAGTTTAGTGTCGTACCTACTGGTACCTCATATATATTGAATGTAACTGTTAAAAATTTGATCAGAATATACCACGAAAATAATAGCGAAAAACAGTCCACACTCCATGAAAAATTGGATGATAACATTTTTTCGGAAAGTCCAATAAGTCCAGAACAAATAAAAATAATTAATCTTCAAGATCTTTCGGTTAATGATATAATTAAAAATATAAAAGAGATAAGCGATTATAAAAGGGAAATTGAAATTAGTGACGAAGCCTTGGGAGTATTTCTGGATGATTTTAACAAGAATTTTGATAATAATAAAGCAAATTCATTTAATAATAAACAACTTGAAGCTCCCCTACCGAGTACGTCTCTTTTAACAAAAACTTGCTCAAACTTTTCCTCTCAGCCCAAATCATACAAATCCCCCCAAAATATTAATACTTTTTCTAAAACGTTAAGCAACAGTAATATTAGAAGTAATGGAAACATGACACCAGCTAAAAAACCGAAATTTAACTTTAAGGCAACCAGTTTTAATAAAGAAAACAAAATTTCTAATTTGAACAAAGAAAAACGAACTTTCAGTGCTAGTGTAACGAACTCTTCACAGAGCTGTAGTCAGATTGCTGTAAAAGCAAATAACGCGGAAGAAAAGAAAATTACGGAAGATATATTTGAAGGGCTGGATGCTGATTCGTTTTTTGATGATTTTTGAAATAATCTTTGCAACATTTCTTATAAGAAAATGTGTTGTAAATAAACTATGTATGATATAATAAAAGGTATTTTTTATATTGGCTTGTTTTTCATAGTAATTGATAGTATTTAAAAAAATCGACTCACATTACAGTGCATAATTAATAGTATAAAGTAAAAGTTTATTAAAAATTTTGGTGGCCGGGTCAATTTGAAAAAAAAAAGGCTACAATTATGCTATAATTTCAGTTTAATTGAAGCAGTTTGATATTTTTTCATCTTTAAATTATATTTTTTCTATGTAGCTGCAGTTAAAGATGCTAATTTATATTATTTTTACATTAAACTATAATTTGTAATGTTATATAGACAACCCAACATACAGCAAATATCACAGCCTTTATAATGTAATTGCAAAGACAACTAGAAAAGGATTTTTCTCATGGAAATAACTTTTTCTGCATAAAACTCAATGCTATTCCAGAACAAACCACAAAATATTACATAGAAATAATCAATTGATTGGTAAAATTTTTACAGACATT